TTTACCCCAGGTGATGGGCAAGAGCCTGCTGCCCACGGCAGGACCAGTCCCAGGGCGTCAGCTTTGCTGCCCTGGGCAGACCAGCCACATCAGCTGCAAACTACAGGAGAAACCCGTCAAAAGGGAAGCAGTCTGAAATTAGGCAAACAGGAGAACAGCTTCCAAAAGGCATGAAAATTAGCTCGTTTCATGCTTAGAATAACCCCATTACTTCAATATCCTGAATGAATTATGCCAAACTTCCCATGCACACACGCACACGCACGAAATCCCCCTTTGGGCTACTTAACAACAGTGAGAAATTTCTGAAGAAGCAGCTCCTGAAAAGAGGGAATTTGAAACAAAAGTGTTCTTTGGAGCAGAACTACAAAGTGTGTATCATTGTGCTTTGATATTCAGAATGGCAATTGTTCTTCTTATTGTGAAATATATTTCTTTTGTACCAGCAAATCCTTGAAAAAAGCTTAATCTTGCACACATTGTGCATTAGGAAAATTCTCAAATTAAGACACTTATCAATGCAGCGGTGAGGAAGGCCCAGAAGAAAAAAAAAGCAGCTCAGAGAGGGAAAATTACTTCCTTCTGGACAGAGAGGGCTATTTCTTGTAAGCAAGGATGGGGGTAGCTTACACTGCATTATGAGAAATGACATTTGTGACTTCCCTTCTCCTATGTGAGAAGGTTTACACCCAGGTCAAGCAGCTATAGAGGTAATTGTTCTTCAAAAGTGTCTGATGTCCTCCTCACACATGGGTGCTGTCAAACTCCATGCAACTTTAAGACATTAAAAACTTGTTTGTGAACTTTTTTACTCTAAAGCACAGAATGAAATGCTGAACTCACATGAAGTCCTTGCCTTTTCCCCATGTCTGCTCTTGGTTGCTTCTCTACATGTGACTAAACCATGAGTCCACTTTTTTCATCAGAGTGATCCAAAAGACTGTGTGCCACCTGGAAATGAATTTGTGTCAGCACAACTCTTATTAGACACCACAGTGTCCCTACCAGCAAATTGGCCCAACCCCGGGAACACTTCTACCCTTTCTTGCATGGAAGAGACACAAATCCAGGGTAAATTTGTATATACTTTCCCCACCACTTGCAGGAATTTGTAGTTTGGGTATCTTCTCCCAGGTTTGAAGCAGTGGGTGGCAAACCTTGGAGAAGAAATGGAAAGACCAGAATGGGAGATCATATATGGCTGGGGAAAGGAATGTAGCAGGAAAGGTGATGAATTGGTGAGAAGAACAAGCAAGCAACCAAAAAGTAAAATAAACTTACAGAAACACAGAGAAGTTCCAGTGAAAGGGGAAAGAGAAACAATCTGGGAATGTCAGGCAGCAGTGTAGACAGTATATTTAGTTAAGCCACTGACACTGGTGGGAAAAGTGACAATTGCAGAGTTTAGATCTTAATCCAACAAGGGAATTTCAGCATAGGCTTATTTTTAGACATGTGAGTAATCCTCATGATTTCAGATCAGAAAGGTAGATCCCAGCTGGTATCATCCTGTTGTCAGCGTGGACCTCATTGTTAATAAAAAAAGAAAAGAAGTTTTAAACCTCTTTTAAATCATGTTTTATTTTCCCTGTGAAAAAAAATATACATACCCAAATTTATCCAGATTAATAAAGACATGGAGGTGGCTGTTGTGAGACGGGGAAACAGGGTTTGAGGTTTCCTGTGGCTGAGACAGGTCTGCCAGGGAGGCTGCTCCTGCTCCAGCTGGGTTTTGCTAAGAGCAGGCAGAGCAGGAAAAGCAGAATGATGGAGTCACTTCTGGCATGACGGAGTGAGCAGCAGGACATGGGCACCCAAGACATCACATCCTCAGGAGTGGGACTTGTCTGGTGTAGAGAAAACAGGGCAGGTCACTACTGTGTACACCCCAGGCTGTTGCAACCTGTACAGAACACGGCTTGGGTGGAAAGGGAAACAGAAAAGCGCATCTAAGGGTGAGCCCAGCTACAACATTCAGTGCACAATTTATTATATTTACATTTTATATTCGATAATATTGTTATAGTTACTTATTGATTGCTTCCAACTCCACTGTCTCCTCTTAAAAGTTAGACTAGACATAAACTTGATATAAAGTATTTTATTCACTGGATTTTAGGGTGGTTTCTTTTGGAGGGGGAGGCAGGATTGCTAGTTCTTTCTGCATCCATCCTTTTAAAATGCTCTCAACAATAAGTGTTTTGAAGCTTTCAGATGCAGTGATTTTTGGAGTGACCCAGCTTCAAGCGACCTGTTCCTACGTGGAGATGGTCCTGCTCTCTCTCAGTGACATTTTATCACTTGCTGCAAGCACTGCAGTGTCCCCTGAGACAGCAAAGCCCACCACGGGCTGTTCCTTATGTGCCACTGATCTCCGCTGATACCAAAAAGATTAACCACAACCTCATCATCCCCTTTTTGTCCTGGGCTTTGTACTGGTTGTCCTGGTTTAGGGCAAATTTGGGATAAAACCTCCAAAGGGGTTCCTCTAGAAAGCAGATTCAAGTGGCAGCTCCCCAACTGGTTTGGGACAAGATTTCCTTGGAGAAAAGTGGAAAAAACCTGTTTATTTAACAGGCAAAGCATTCACCAGCACAAAAAAAAAAAAAAAAATTAACAATATTAAACAATAAAACCCCTTGCTGCTCTGAAGAGATGACACACTCAGAAAGTCCTTTTCATGGCTGCAGCTCGGCTCACTCGGTCTCTGATCGGTCCCTCGGTGCTGGAAATGCCACGGCCCAGGCCCGGCCAGGGGGTCACAGGTGGAGCTGCTGGTGCTCTGCTGGGTGTTCAGGCCAGAGCAGGCTTGAACAGCTCCAAGAAAAAGAAAAACCACAGTCCAGGGAACTTCTCTGCCTCAGCTAGCTAAAAACTAACTAAGAGCAAAGGAGAGCCCTGTCCTGCTGTCTGTCCATCCACAGACAGCACAGTCCAGGAGCAGGATGTGGGGGGGCAGGTGCAGTTCCTGATGACAAATTCCACACTGCTTCTCTCCCCTTCCCTCTTGGAACCAGTCTTAAAGGTGCAAAACTTATTTCTGGGCTAAACAGACGAATGGGAATACAAGCATCATAAAGTCACCCCAGGACACCGGTAAACCTGCTGGCTATTGAAATATTCACAGAAAACTGCACCTCCTCCTGCAGAGGCTGCTCTTAGCCAACTCCAGGGGGGGGGGGGGGGGGGGGAAGTGGAGTCTCATTTTAATTAGTATAAAAATTCATCTCCATGATTATGCAAGCATTTTATACTGCCTTAGATACAAGTTCTGTGGAAGAAGTGCTTTACCACAGCTTGCTGCTATGGAGCTGAGAGCAGGAGCTCAGGAAAGCAAGGGCCAGGTCCTCTATCACTCCAGTCCTGAACCTGGTTTAGACAGCAGTGGTTTAAAAGGACCAGGCAGGAGCAGCAGCTTTATTTACGGGAGGGATGTCTCCAGTGGTGTGGAGTGACGGTGACAGGGGAAATTGGGGCTAGAAATGCTCTCTAGCATCCCTGACACTTTTGCCTTTAGTCAGCTCTGAGAGCAGCATTGAAACCTGCAGACGAGGGGTCACTGAGTGGTGGCACTGAACCAGCCTGAGCATCTTGCCCGCCTTTAGCTCCTCATCTTCCTCCTCTGACCTTTTACTAACGGGGAGAGGAGGAGTGAGGTGGGGGAGCAAACAGCACAGCAGGACTTCAAAAATCCTCTGAATGTCCACGTCAGGAGAGACACGGACCTTGAACACCCATTTATTCCAGCAAGGAGCATTTATCAGTCGCAAGAGCAGGAACCAGAACACGCTTTGCAACACCCGGGCGAGGCAAGGCAGCTCGTAGGGACTGGTGGATCATTTCTCCCCTTGACTGCGGCAGACAGCGCCCAAGCCCCTCGGCACCTCCCGGCCTCGCTCTCCCGGCTCCATCCCCGCCAAGCCGGGCTCGGGTGCAGCTCCCGCTGCCGCTGGCACGGCCGCAGCCGAGCGGGGCCGGGCAGGGCCCTGCTGACGCACCCGATTGGTATTAGAAGACTTCACTGGCTATTTATAGCCCCCCACCGACCGCAGAAAGCTCTTGGCCTCGCTTTTTCTCCCTGCCTCCCTCCCTCCCTCTCGCTCACTGGCTTCAGCTCAGCACGGGAGGGGGAGCACAAGAAATGCTGTCAGTAAAGCCGCGAGTCCAAGCGCCACATTCCCAAGCACAGCAAAATTTCTGCCCTTCCGCTGGTGGATTCAGTCCGAACAAATTATTTCCAGCATGCCGGCCTTTCACTCTGGTGCTCTTTCCTCCTTTTCAGCCTGGATTTCTTTCCCGTTACGCTTTTTTTTTTTTTTTTTTTTCTTCCCTGTCTCTCTGCGCAGTTTCACTTTCCAGTTCCTGGCACTGGCTTGGCTGTCCCTCAGCAGGGCTGGATACACACCAGAGACGGGGAGACCTCTCTGTTGAGCTTGGCAGATTTCCCCGGTTCCTGCCAGGAGCTTCCCTGGGTGTCTCTCTCAAACACCCAGGCTGAGCCCTGACCCTTATTTTGGCCCAGGACATCTGATGCTCTCCTGACTGCAGGGCCAGGCTTCAACTCCCACGTTCACCCTCTGAAGGACAAACCCATGGTCCCCACCCTTGTCACCCACGTCTCTCCAGCCCCTGCCCTGTTCCCGTGCTGGTGGGTGAGTCAGCGAGGACTAAGCGGAGCTGTGGATGGAAATTGTACCTACACATCGACCCCGGGCGCTCCTTCAGCATGGATAACCACAGCAGCAAGTTTTAAAGTGCTGTTGTTGCAAAAGCACAGTCTGCTCCAGTTTGGGACAGAGGTGGCATTTGGAAATGTGAGTAAAAAGTTCAGTGTACCTGGATACAGGCAGTGAGGTAAAAACAATGCCTAGTGTCCACAGCAAAGGCACTGATGGAGAAGTAAAGTCATCTATAATCACTTCAGTGAAGTGAAAAGTAGAGGTCACTGGAGGTGCACATCCATTCTTTTTTTTTAACAAAACAATGCTGATTTTCACAGTATTTATTGTCAGAAGTATTTCTAACAGAAACATTCCCGTCTGCATGCAGGCCCTCAGGTTTACAACAGAGGTAAGAGAGGACTACTGTGGGAATTAAATCTAGAGCAAGCTATTCTGCTTTCTCAGTGAATTAACCATTGCCCCACCTGAGAGGCTCCTTTACTTGCAGCTCCATCGGCACTTCAGGGCTAAAGCAATCAGGGGGTGGGGTGTCTTCTCATTCTTATCCTTAAGTAAATCACTTTATCTCGGTTTTTGTGTGGCACCCTGCTCCACACTTATCTCTGTGGACTTGCAGGCTCCAGGGCTCTCTCCCACTGCAGGGCAGGATGTCCAGCACCAGCTCCAGGCACATCTCCAGAGGGCTGAGGCTCACAGAAACGCTGTCAGACAAATAACAGGGCCAGGGTCTTTCTCTTCGGAGAGGAATGGCACACCCAGCTGCAAATAAGTGGTCCCAAAATTAATGCATTATGCTTTTCAAATTTATTATTATTTCTAGTATTTACCATGTCCAGTTCTGGGGTCCTCAGTATAAGAGACATTGAGCTCCTGGTCCAGCAGAAACAAAGTTGATGAAGGGACTGGAGCACCTCAGTTCTGAGGAGAGGCTGGAGGAGCTGGGCCTGCTCAGCCTGGAGAAGAGACCCTGAGAGGAACCTCACCAATGTCTGCCAGTGCCCGCAGGGAGGGGCCAGGGCATGGACCAGGCTCTGCTCAGCAGGGCTGGGCAACGGGACAAGAGGCAGTGGGACAATGGGGCAGGAGCTGAGGCTCAGGAAGTTCCTCCTGAGCATGAGGAAGAACTTCCCTGTGCAGTGCCCGAGCACTGGGACAGATTGCCCAGAGGTGGTGGAGTCTCCCTCACTGGGGATATTCAAGAACCATCTGGACACCCTCCTGTGCCACGTGCTCTGGGATGGCCCTGCCTCAGCAGGGAGGTTGGATCTGATCACTGTGGTCTTCTCCAGTCTGACCCATTCTGTAATTCTGTAGCTTATCAATGAAGATACAGGAAATTCACTTGAACCTGGAGATGGTGCTTGACATTTGGCCACAGAACTAAGAGCTATCTTGACAAAAATTTCTTTTTCTCGACAAGCTTGTCCCTTTGTAACTTTCTGATTCCATTTCTAAACCTCAGTGTGAATGGGACTCTTGCTATAGGTGTCTTACTCACAGCTGTGTCATGACCAGGCCATCTGGGATGTGTGGGACTGGAAACTGGGTAAGAGAAAGGAAATCTTATTCCTTCTATGCAGCTTCTTTAGAAGCTTCACAGAACTGTGCTTGCTGTGTCTGCCACGGTGAGCAGGCTGGCAATGGTTAGAAACAAAGAGATGGGAAGGGGATGGGAAAGGTCCTGGCAAAGGGAAAGCACCCCTTCTCATCTGACCATGCTGGAAGATGCACGGTGTGGTACTGAAGAGCCATGTACCCCACTGACCCCTCTCCTCACACTACTTCTCTGCAGAGCTGAAAGCCTACAGAACATTTTCAGAGGCAAATCAGTACATACTTGCCACAAACGACAGCCGGGACACTTCATTGCTGCATCCTTCTCTACTTGGGAGATGCTCTAGCCCTGAGAACTGCATGGTCACCCTGGAAATGCAGGATAAGCCAGTAAAATTGCAGGATGCCTCTGGCAGGTTGTTTTAAAAGCAGATCAGAAGCAACAGGAAAATTTTGATCTATTCCTTAGTTCTTACTTCTTCAGTTTTGGAGAGGCACATTCATAAACCATAAAAGCAAATTATCCCTCCACTGACAAAGATCCAACCTTGACCTTTCTGCAGCACAATTAACATGTAAAAGCATTTTTGCCATATGACTAGAATTGTTCCTTTCATTTACACCTCATTTTCTGCCAGCACCAATGTGTAAGGTGGTCATGACTCACAATAAATGTCTGGTAGTTCTCCTACAATAAAATCCTGATTTTGACGGACTTCCAATTTGAGCTGGACAAAAACCTCGTAAGATGTAACTTACTCTTGAATTCAGCATCCTGGTCCACATACAGCTTTGTTTCCTCTGATTTTTGTGTGTGAAATTTTCTCACCAGGGGTTTCCTACAAGTAAATCTTGTTCTCGTGTCTCACACAAAAGCAACCCTGCTACAAGTACCTGACCCTTGGCATTCAACAGAGGAATGTACTTGATTCACTGCTATCATTTTTGGTATTTTTTCCAGTGCTGCCGTTGTGCCACTCTATTCCTAAGCAGGAAAAACCACCCAGGCTCTGCCTTGGATGGGCTGCAGTCAGATGACAACTGGTAATGCTGAGATGTTGCAGGTGGCACACATGGCTGGGGAAGTCTGCACACAAGCATCCACTAGCTATTTCAGAGCTCTACATACATAAAAGTTCTGCTAATTTCTACAATAAACACGTGGGGGACAAACTCCGTATTTAAATTGCAGTTCAAACTTTGGACTTAACATTATTGTATTTTAATATGCTAAATGTCATGTGGCTTCTGGTAGTGGAATAATACAAGCAACCCAGTGTCTTACGCATTCATGGATTAGGTTGTAAATGTTTGTAAACCAGGAAATAAAGCTGTATGAGCAGAAGCATTTATAAGATAATAGTGAAGTAATTTGAGTTTTAAAATTATAGAAGTTGGTGTTTGGCAGTGCTGTGTGGGGAGACAGACACTGGACAGCTGAAAACATTATAACCAACAGAAGAACACAGTCCAAGGTGAAGAGCAGCTTACAAATGTGTATAAATGGCATGATTTAGGGATAAACATTACAGATTATTTTGCCTTTAGATAAACAGATAAAGCTCTGTTTTCTTGCAACAAGAGCTCTGGATCTTCTCTCCTGGTCATTTGCAAAGCAAAGGGATTGGGAATGTGATGCTAAACTTTTGGAGAATGCACATGAGCATAATTATGTGATGGTAGTAACGACATTAAACTTAAATCTCAACCTGTCAAACAACACAAATTGTTTGTCCTGTAATAAACCAAATACTTTTCACATAACTATTTAGAAAGATGAATGTAATTTTAAAAAAGTAGGCATATTACACTTGTATACTTTTGTTCCTAGTTCTGCTTCACAGGGTAGTAGATCAGAAGCACCCAGTATCTAAATTAAATTTAGAAAATGGCAATTATCTCTGTTTCAGCACACGGTATTGTTATTTCTTTGCTAAATACAGATGGTTTCCAAGAATCGATAAACTCATTGCAGCTGGACAATGTTTATAGGCCTGCAGCAGAGGATGGTTTTCAAAGGAATTTAAATATTGCAGGGAGTGGTTTTATATTCCAGGGCCCCAAGTTTGCTTTGTGATAGCGGTTTAGTTTCACTGTTGCTCAAGAAAGAAGCCCTCTGTTCAAGAGGGAAATGCAGAAGGTGTGAAGTGAACAAATAAAATGTTCAGTTCTCCATGCCTGGCACAGCAGAGGACTAGGAATCAGCATGGCAGAAAAGGAGACAAGACTGGATAATCAGCAGAGCTAAAATCCTGAACAAATCAAACATGTAATACTGGTTTGCATTCCCAGAATATAAATTAACACCTGGTAAGATGACTGTGTTTTTGTGATAAAATTTTGCTTTCTATGAATACCCTCTAAAATGGGCTTAAAAGTCTTTCCATAAACATTTCTAGTCACTAATCTAAGGGATGGGAATGTGTTCAAAAAGTAAACATAGATGGAGGAAATTCACTGCTTTTATTCACTTAAAAGTGAGTATTTGCAGGTTTTTAAAGGTATTCCTAAGGTCAATAACTAACTAAACAATCTTATTTTGTAAACAGCTGTGGTGCAGTAAAAAAGCCAGGCTCCAAAGGTCTTTGTGTGAAACTATCAACAAAATAATCTCAATTATGCGCAGAAGAACAAATATTTTTAGCAATTGTTCCCCTCAACATGATAGACGCTTTCTGATGCTCCCTAGAAGATGTAGCTGAAAGTGAAGTTTATGTCAGCAGGGCACCTGTATGGGATCAAAGATTTCTGACTGCTTGGGATGTGCACGGATGTGAGCAAGGAGGGATCAGGCCATCTTGCCAGACCCTGAATTGATTCAGGCTTTGAAACTTCAGACCCGTGAGCTTCAGGGGAATTACTCCCTGCTCACAAGGGTGGAAGAGCTGCATCAAGCCCCTGGCACCTACCCAGCTTCAGACACAGTGCACACCTCAAGCAGACCTGCTTGCCCGAGCTCCCTTTGCTCTGCATTTTGTGGTTTGGTTCTCTCAGGTGCAGCCAGAGCCAAACCCATGACACACTTCCTGAAGTTCTACCCCACACACAAATTACAGGGGGAGAGCTGCTGGATCTCCAAGCCAGGACACCAACTATCCCTGCAGAGCTGATCCTTGTCTACAAGGCCCCAGTTCACCTGTGAGCACTCCTGGAGCAGTTTGGTAGAAATGCTGTAACTTCTAAACCCAGTCTAACTGAGGAGCAGCTTAGCTCTGTTCAGCTGAAGCAAGCACAGTCCTAAACAACCAAACCCAAACCAAACCACCTCAGAGAGAAATCACCTTTGGCAGGCAGGCCGCGTTTCCAAACTTTTCTCTGTAGCTGTGAAATTGAGACTTTAAGAGTAAAAGCCTTCATACAACTGCTGCTTCCCTGCCAGCGCTGGCCCTGAGAAAACCCTGCTGCTCATTGGGAAAGCTGCAGTGCTGTGATGATATGAAATATTCCCTGGGCTGCTGTCTCTGGAAGGGTGTGCAAAGCCCCCGTGGAAGGCTGTACAGCAGCACAGGATGATTGCTTTTGGACTCTCACCGGCCACAAGCAATCGTGCCCTACCTCACAAGCTAAATTTCTGTGTCAATTCTGTCACGTTATTGCTGCTAAAGAAGGTACAACCACAAAAAGACAATTGTCTGCCCTGAGATCCCCACCCTTTTCAGTTCTTTGAAGAGGGGTATGTGTATGTATATATATATATGGGTTTTTTCATCTATCATTGAATGGTGAATTCTCTGTTCATTCTGTTTGCCAAATTGCACAGGACCTGATGCAAAGCCCTCTTTTAGTGCAGTGTTCAGAAGTCTCAGCATGAGTCAGTGTGAGCACTGCTGAAGGCTGCAGAACCCTGCAAGTATTTTAACCTCTTGCTAACGGCAAGGGGGGGAAAAAGATGACAGATCCTCAATGCTCTGCTTTTGCTATCAATTCAAAGATGGGAGTCGCTTATAAACATCCTTCATTATTCCCAATCATTAGTCGAAAAGAAAATCTTACCCCCACCGTCTTTTTTTTTCTTCTTTTTTTTTATTCTGACAGGATGGCTTTAATTGTCTTATTTTCTTCCCCTTTCATATTAGAGCAATTTGTGTACTGTCCATCCTGGATTTCTTGCAAGACACTATGGCAAGGATGGCAGAATGGGGCCTTAGATGCTAAGACACAAATCTGAGAGCCTTTTTTGGTGTATGGCTTAACAATTCCTGCTTCAAATGAGGAACTGTGAATTCTCCCCTCCAACTCCCTTGGATTTCAATAAAAGCAAGCAGGAAAATACTGTAATTAGCCCCACCATTTCTGAAGTGAAAAACATGAACAAATTATTGGAGGTTACCATTTTTCAGCTCTTCAATTACTGTGGATGTCAAAATAAGAAAAAAAATCTGTATTTATAGCAGTCTGTTGATGGAACAAGTTTTTAAAGCAAACAAAATTGTATTTTTTCAGCCTGTGAAAACACCAATGTAGTCACTTATTCTGTTATCTCATTATCTTACAGAAGTCTATCAGCTGTTTTGTGCTTTTACTGCAAAAAGTAGGTCTTAGGATAAGGGTTAGTACGTAGAGATGAAGAAGTGAAACACAATTTGAGTATCTCATTTCCTTCACGGGGACTAAAATGTTGGTAAGGTTCCAGCATTTGTTGGAAACTCCTACTGGGCATTACTTCCTTCTCGTGCCCAAAATAAATTCCTCAAATATTAATCATTTTTGATAACAGCGTTGCTTTTTTACACCACTGAGGCTGCTCCTACCTGTCAGTTCCCCCCCAGCAGCAGGAGAGAGGAATTGCGCTGCCGGTGCTATTGCTCTCATTTCTTTCCATTCACCTGGTTAAATTCTGACACCGTGCCGGATCCCGGGATGTGCTTTGTTCTCTAAAAATCGGCCAGGATCAAAAACCAACCGAGACCTCGAGCCGTGACACCTGTCAAACACACGCAACCCGCAGCTTCCCACTTCCAGACCGCGGCGTCCCGAGGGAAGCCGAGCCTCTCCCAGCCCCCTCCCCAGGCTTTTCACCGCCGCCAGCGGGGCCTCCCCGGCTTCCCCCGGACCAGGCCCCGGCCCCGCTCTCCTTCCTCCCGCGGGAAACGACCTTGGCGGCGCCGGGGCCAGCCCCGATCCGCCCCGGCCACCTCCCGCTCGGCAGGCGGCTCCGGGCCGGGCCCTGCCCCTCCCCGGGGTCTCGGAGGCGCCGGCCCCGCCTGGCCCGCCGCGGTTCCGCCGCCCGCGGCCGCCGCCCCCGCTCCCTGCGCGACCATCCACCGCCGCGCCCCCGCGCGCTCCCCATTGGCCGCCCCCGCCGCCCATCAACCCGGTCCTCGCTGCCGATTGGCCGCTGGCCGGGCCGGCGCACGGGTCCCGCCCCGCGGGGCTCCCCCCGGCCCTCCCCGGCACTTGGCGGCGGAGTGTCCTCAGAAGACTCGCAGGGCCGGAGGGGCCGCTCCGCCGCCGGCGGCCGGCCCGCGCTCCCATTGGTCGCTCCCTCTGCCAATCCGTCGGGCCGCGGCGCGCCGTTGGCTGCCGGGCGGGCGGGGGGCGGGGCGCTCCCCCCCCGCCCCCGCCCGCGCGGTGCCGCCCTGTGACCAACTCCCGTGTGTGAGTCACGGCAGCGCCGTCAATGCCGTGTGCGGGCGGGCGGCGCTGCCTGGGCTGCCCCGGCCCCCCTCCCCCGGCACAGGGCTGGCGGGCCGCACTTGTCACCGTGTCACATCCTCCCCGCCGCCTGCCGACCCGGCTCGCCCTCCCCAGCTCGGCCGCCGCCCGGGGCCGCCGCGGCGGCATGGGATAGAGCCGGGCACAGCCGCCCCCGCCGCTCGTTTTACATTGACCTCCCGCAGTTTAAATCCCTCCCCCGCGTGTCCCCCCCACCGCCTCCTCGCCTCCCCCGCGCCCCCTCTCTCCGCCGAGCCCCCGCTCCCCCGGGCGCCTCCCTCGCCGTTCCTCGCCGCGGAGCCCCCGGAGCGGGTGAGTGCCGGGCACGGCCCTCCCGGGCTCGCTGAGGGGGCGGGGGGCGCGGGCCGGGGCAGCCCCGGGCTGTGCGGGGCGGCCACCGACAACTGCTCCAAAGTTGGGGCATTCCCCTCCCGGCGCAGCCTGGCGCTGCCCGCTCGGACTGCAAAAGAAGGGGGAAAAAAAATACAGGTATAACCCCCCGGCGTCGTTGCCAACTTCTAGTGCGTGTCGTGCTGCCGGCGAATGTAATTTTGATTTTATGTTGGTTATTTTCCCCGCCCTGGTTGAGGCTGTGGTGATGGTTGACGTGAGGGTATCCCGAACGCCGCCCGGGTCGAACAAGCCCTCCATGCCGGGCTCCGGCCACTGTCCGTGCTGGAAAAGCGGGGAATCCCACCTTTTGTATTTCTAGGTGCTCCATCCTCCTCCCCACCCTGTCAGTCCTGGATGTTTCGCTATTACCTGGGCTTCACTTGCCGTGGCAGGAACATGCGTGTTTGGAAGGGGGAAGCCGTGGTCCGCAGCGGGGAGTTTTGGTGTCTTGGCTTGGTATTGGGAGCGCTTGATGTGAAATGGTTATGTCTCTGTTTCACTGCTATTGATTTTTCTTTTCTTTTCTTTTTTTTTTTCCCCTCAATGTATTTTTAGAACATGAATGTGGTGTGTGTTGTGTGCTGTATGTACAGAGCAGCTAAAATAAAGCAGAGGCGTGGAAAACCCCAGCAAATACAGCAGTGCTTCCATGCACAGGGCATCCACAGCCTCAGTACTCTGCCAGGTTTATTTATTAATATTAATTGCTCGATCTTTGTAATTTATATCATATGGAAACTAATTGGTGAATTGAAGGTTTACCAAACCTCACAGGGCTCCAAAATCATCTGTCTCAGGCATCTGAAAAATAAATCTACTGAATTTTTGTTATGAGGAAAGGCCAGCATCATTCTGGGAATCCTCCACATGAAGTTTCTCTTTCTAAAGGCAAGCACTCTTGTAAATAAGTCCTAGTAAAGAATGGCTTTACTCAGTGGGCACTCAAGTGTATGCAGAAGGTCAGTGAATTTCTAGGGAAAATTAAATCTTTACTAAATATTGTCTTGCTTTTATCTATAAATAGAGGGAGGGAAACAAAAATAAATCAGCTGTGAGATTGACATGAAACAGAAAATCAGTCCTTTTCCCAAGGGGTGACTTGCCCAACATAACCTGAAAACTTCCTAAATTTTGCCTTTGTGGGGAGGGGTCCTTCAGCTGCAGTCTGTTGAGTCAGTGTGAAGCGGGCCTGTCTCTCCTCTGGAACTGGCTTGGCACCAGCGTAACTTCATTAACAGAGCAGATTTGCATTAATGCGAGGAGTAATCCAGAAGCTCACGTTTTGAGGAAGGCCCCTGTAGTAATGACGTGACAAGTCGTGATTCCTCCCCTCACCAGACCCAATTACAGCACCCTTACTCACTCGGAGTGGCACTTCACTGCGCAAGTGCTCCTGCGATGCTTCTGGGGCTGCCTGTGTGCCACAGTGCCAGTCTGGGTGAGGGGGAGTGGCGCTTGTTTTTCTCATAATTGTTTTATTCCCTTTCCTTGAAATGACAACGTGGTGGATAACTATTTTTTCCTTGGGCCGCGAAGAAAACTTCTGAGGATTAAATGTAAATCTGCTTTGTTGAGTGACCGTACCAAAAACCCCCTGTTTAAGACTTCTGTGCTGCCAAGTGAAACGGGCAGGTAAGTTTTCTGTGTGTTTAGCTTTCCCCTGTTTCTACAGAAAGCAGGAAAAAGATTGTTGAAAATTGAATTATCTTGTCCTGAAATTCCTCTGCCCTGTGGGATTCCACACCTATATGCGGTGTTCAAGTTGGAGTTGTTTTCCTAATTCCCCTGTGTCTCTAGAACCGCCCCCACCCCCCAGACATTCACATTGCATTGTTAAAGGTGTTTGCTGTTGAAATCACTGGCAGAAGGATCAGGCCCTCGGCTGGTTTTCTTTAAAGCAGTTGATAATGACTTGGATGTGATGTTGTAGAGAGATAATATTATCTGGCGTGTCCATAGCTCAGATCCACTGTCCTACCACAGTGTCAGAAGAAAGCTCTGTGCTAAGCAGCCTGTAAAGAAAATGTCTAACAAAGCAGAATTGTCTTCTGCCTTTCTGTACTTATTTATAAATCTCTTGAAAGTTTGTTTGATGCTCTTTCAGAACAAGACAAGATCCCTGCATGTTTGTTTCATGTTTTCACTTCCTCGTATGACTGTGTTCATTGCTAAGCCTTTGTGTCACTGATTGAGATGTTATTGTAATTAACATTAATTATGCAAACTAGATTGTTTTTAGAGGCTCTCCAACTCTGTATTGATACCGTCAGCTTGTTTGTTTGTTGAACAAAAATCCACACGTTTCACCATTCTCGGAGGAAATAGATTAACCGATTCCAAGTTAATGTATGCATGGGAAACTATAACAAAATCAAGTTATATTAGCTCAAATGGCACAATGAACCTTGATGGATGTGGTGAACCGAGCATGGCTGGATCTGAAATACCAAGGCAGGGCAAACAGGGGGAGCAGGAAAGGGGACTCTAGGTACAGTCATTCGGGGAGGGTGTTTACACTGCAGAGTTCCATTACATCTTTTCCAGAGAGACAGTACTAGGATCAATTGGGCCAAATGCTGCCATCCCTAATTGAATGAAACTCTCACTAAAATATACTGGACCTGCCTGCTTGAATTTTTTTGAGAAATGGAGAAAAATAGCAGAGTTTAATTAATTAATTATTTAGGACATTTTTGATTTTAGACTTGGAGAAGATATTTTCCTTAAATTTGGTTTAGAAGGTATTCCAGGGTTGTCTTTTTAAAATAAAAGCTTAATAAAAATATCTTTGAAATATACATCCCTGTAGCAATGGTAACATTTTATCATTTTTTTACAATGCTAATTGTAGTGACATCCACAGAAGTCTTCATGTCTGATTCTGAATCACCCTTTTGAAACCCTTTTGAGCTGAGAAGGATTTTAGAATTTCTCCCTAGAAATCAAATTTGTGGCAATGTTTGTGTGTTGTATTCTTGTGTACTCTTAGGAAGAAAAATAATAGAGGCGGGGAGAGTTTAAATGGGAATTGGCAGTCCTGATATCACGTCTGAAAATGTATGCAGACTGGCAGATTATTCCCTGTCTTAAAAATCAAGTCTCTCTAACTTCCTATTTAAATAAGCAAAATTTGGTTTGCAGTTTGCTTTGAGTAATAAAAGGGATTTTTTTTTTTTGTTTCTACTTTTGGTGCAGTGGTCCTCTGGAAAGTTAGAAACAGCACCCTGGGGCTCAGCGAAGTGGAGGGTGTATAATTATATGGGAAGGCTCCATAGCTTCAGTGAATTAGCATTAGCAGCTGAGTGAGTTGGTTAAGTTGTAGAGATGGCATTATGGAAATCAATAAAATGCTGATTTCTTTTCCTTATTGCAGATTCCATGTTAAAAGGAAAATACGCTATTTGTTTGTCTGCCTTTCATGTAGGCTTGCCAAACCATTAGTTGATATGGAAAGGCAGGTTTTGCAGCTCCGGCAATCAGTAGTCAGGTTTGTTTTGTTTTGCTTTTTTTAGACTCTTTTAAATCTTTATTTATTAGATTGTCTTCCAGAAATCACACTAACATCCTGGCCTGCAAGTGGCTTCACATGTGTCTGTTTATCAGCAGAGGCAAAAGGGAAGGTCACTTATTTTTCTTATGACATGCTCGTGTGGCATTGTCTGTTGTAGCCCAAATGCTCTATGTTCCTGATGTTCCTGTTTCTGCTTTAAATTAAGTTCTCCCAAGGACTTGGAGGGTACTGATGCTGAAATCCACATTCAGAATAAAAGAGAAATAGTGACCCTAACTGTTTTCAGAGGTGTGCATCAGGAGGAATGATATTAAGCACTATAAGATGTATAATGTGCATTGGCCTTTATTTCTTTGTCTCAAAGCTTCTCCTGCTTTTATACCAGAGAGACAAGTACCCAGATCATTCATCACACTGAGCTCTTACAGAGACATGACAGACCAACAGCCTTATGTTGCACGCTGTGGAACATGTACAGTGCATTAGGTTCTGATGATCTATATAAAACATTTTAATTGGGAGGAGCTGTA